CCAGGACTGAAATCTATAGGATTTCATATACATAAGAGGCTCAGTGTAAAGTTGTATGAAATCAAATGCAATGCTAAACCCTGCCCGTGTCATTGAAACTACTTACAGTATTATTGTAAAGGCAGATTTCTCTGTCCTCTCTATGAAATGCCATTAAAATGCATCAGTTGAGAACATGGCAGGCCTGCACCGTTGTGGTGACCCCTGCTGCACGGCAAACTAAACACTCCAGCGCTGCAGCAGCAGACCAGCCAGCATCTGAGGTCACACACGGCCCGGCAGCATGAGTCACACAGCCCAGAGCGAAAAGCGAAATGTGTAAAAACGCCACATTGGCAGATTAGTTTGTTTACATCCTGCACTGGACGTGATTTGGCCAGGCTGCAACGAGACACAGCCAAGGAGCCCGTCCTCCCTTCTCTCTCTCTCTTTAACTTCATCCTTTTTCCTCTTTCTTCATTCCCTCCTTTCTTTCTTCCCTCTTAACTCTCAGCTCTCTCGGCCCTGCCAACAACACATGACCATGAGGCAGAGTGTGGCGGAAAAATAAAGCAGCCCTGCCTTTGTAAAAAAATTAAAACAAAGTGAAAAAATCAGACAAATTAATAACACGAAACAGATGGGGAAGTTGTATTTCCAGAATAAAACAAGACTAAAAAACTTTTCTCCCCTGCAGAGTTTGCCAAGTTATGAGCTCATGCTTTGTAGGCCCTCTGCTGAATATCTATTCATAGCGCCAGCTCCAACATGTCAGACTTTTATGACCCATTTCTCCTCTCGTTATCTGCAGCAACAATTAGGGGCCTGCTAATTTAATGCTGGGAATATGGAAGCGCTTTCCTGACTTGGAAGGAATCTCACGGTGTACCGCTGCGCACAGGGACAGATTAAACCCCTCGTACATCTTGAATCGTAGACTGGAGGCTGGGTAAGAATCAACACGAGACCACGGCCGGGTGTGCACGTGTGTTTTTCTCACAGAGCTAGAGTGTAATGATGAACAGGGTCAATCTGGGGTCACACACACAAACAGAGATGCTCATAGTGTCCATCAGCTCTGGTTTGGAGGTCACACCTGGCACCGTTTTCTGAAATCAGTTGATGTGGCGATGTCATATCTGCATCATCTATTTACTCTCATACTGAACCTCTTTTCCTCACCCACACTTGTGTCGTCAGGCAATTGGTAACTGCTGCATTTTGTTAATGACAGGTCTGTACACACTGTTTTTAAAGCTTTGACCCCTTGTGATCAGATCTCTCAGGACAGATGTCAACACCAGGTCTGAACAAGGCCTAAATCAAGAGCTAACCCTCAAACCCACTAAAACATCAAACTTTCTGCTTCACAATCATGCACGGTCACAAACACACCAGAGTAAGTTGGAGCTAAGAGTTTTGGCAGCATGCTGACAAAAGGGCTGAGCAACTCACCACTCTTCTCTTTCAAAGCCTCAGCACCTCCACACCAAGTGATTTGAGTTGCAGCTGATTTGACCTCTGCTCAGAGTGCAGCTCCGCCAATTAGAGAGAGCGAGGTGCTCCCCTGCAGGTGCAACACATAAAATGGAGTCACGGAGATGTCAGCCGTGTCTGAGCACGCCCACACACAACTCTGAGCTATAATTAGGATCAAAAATAGTGGGAACACCTGAGAGGAGGGTGTGCACACATTTTAATAGATGTCTTTTTAATAGATGTATTCATCAGATAGTGGGTGTTTGCAGTAACACAGTTTCCTCTGCAGATTAACAACCTCAAGAGATCATTTCAAGCATTTAGCTGAAACGGCATCTACTTCATATGTTATTGTCATTATATCGGGGCTGGAAACCGGAGAAAATTAAGAGGAAGTTGGTTTTTCAATGACCGGAACTCAATGTCGCTTACAACAACCATCAGCTAAATGTCATGAGTCAGTTTAAACTTTTCCCCCTTAAGTGAAAGAGTAGATTTAACAGGAGGAAAGAGGGTCATAATTTGTTCATATAATGTTCCCTACATGCCATTTTCTGAGCAGGATTCCTGACCAGTGTGACAGAATGGAAATGTATTTGGCGGCTATCCATTACCTCTGTGCTTATGTGGTTTTACGCGGTGCTTTTCTGTAAATGTAGAGTCTTAGCTAAAGCAACATATTGCATTTAGATTTAAAGAAAAGGCACAAAAACACAATTCATGACATCGGACAAAAGCATGTGAATAATAGCAAAGTTGGTAAAAATGTATAAATTCTGTGTAATTTCCTACGCAAGACGTCCAGTTGCATGAAAAATCAAGTATTGTCTGCAGATTCAGTTTTGTTTGCTTGTGCTTGCCTTCACTGAGCGTGTTAAACAATAAATCATGTGACGCTTGATTACTGTGCATGTAGGCCACTTCTGTTAATATGTAGCTTCTTACGCATCTGAGACTATCTCCAGGGTATTTGATTCACATTAGATGTTTTTTCCTCTGTGAACATGAAATAGCGTCTGGAGCTGATCAGAACTGAAAGATAATGAGGTTCAGTAACAACCAGTGCTTTGCCCTGAACTAAAACCTGCAGGTTCTACGGCTGGAGGAGGCTCCAGCCGCCTATAGCTAATGGATGGATGTGTTCAGCATGTTTATCTCGTTTCAGAACATTGTGGATATTTTGGGGACGTTCAGTTGCAACAACAACACAGATATGTGTTTTTCAAACTGCATAGTTCAGTGTCATCAGCATACATTCAAGCATACCATGGCAAATCAGAGTGTTCCTTGTCCAGATAAATTCCTTCTGGAGTCATTTAAAATCTGATCTTGGGCCAAATAATGAAAAGCATTGGAGGGCCCTTATGTACCTGCACGCATGCTGTGTACACCAATCAGCACCACCAGAGCTTTAAAAAGTTTTTATATGGTAATATTGTAATTTCATAATGTCATCATCATTAAATCATTTATACTTTATGATGAATGATTCTTTAATCTACATAAACTGCAGATCCTGTTTCTAATCCACTACTGCACTATGTATTCTACATTTTCTGACTTCAGAGTGATGTAATGATGATGTCATTGCTACCATATGATCATTATTTGTCTATATGAGCTTCAGGTCATGTCTGTTTTCCAATAGGATGCAGTGATACATCAAAAAAGCATGATGTCATTTCCAAAGTATATATTCCCATCAAGTCTGGTAGAAATTCATCCATGCATTCTTGAATTATTTTGTATTCACACAAACGGGGAGAATGCAAACAAACCCCGTCTGCAGGGCTGTGACGGCGAGCAGGACAATCACACCCAGATTGGAAATAATGGGAAAGCAACAAGTTGTTAACATGCAGAAATGACGGATGGTCTTTGTGACGGCACATATTTGTGTTACTTTTCAAGGCAGCTTTTAATGTGACTCTGTGTCTTTTGGTTCAAAGTAACAAATGTATTTTGTGGAAAAAAAGGAAACATGACGTGTGTTACAATTCTGAAAGTTTACAAAAAGGAAACAAGCTCACTGGTAATCACTGCACATGCTCACAGTCAGCACCAGATATTATAGGAGCAGCTCTCTCTGTCTCTCTCTCTCTCTCTGTATGTGACTCCTACAGGCTGGTATCAACAGGAAAGAGTCAGCCAATGAAACTAATTGGGTGGTGTGTGTTTTATGAAAAGAACAGCCTGTTCTGTCCTGGGCTCCCTCCCACCGCTCTCTGACTGGCTGACTCCTAAGTGGTCTGCTTTTCCTCTCTGCACTGTGATTGGAGCCGGGGAAAGCCAATAACTCCAAAAACTCTTACCCCTCCACCACCACCCCTCCCTCTTTTCCTCAGGACATACCCTTGTTGTTTTCAACTTCTAGAAGCAGAGCTGGGCTGAGACGATCCAGCACAGTCACACACTGCACACCGGAGCTGTACCTGCACACCAGACGTACACTGTGTACTGGGTTTCAGACTCTGCACATTTACAACTTAACCACACTGCACCAAATACTGCTGGTGCACTCTTTACCTTCCTTATTTCCTATCTGCAGATTATAGGAATGTAAGAATGTAATGCAACTAAGTTGTCAAATTTGTGCAGGAATAAGAAAAACGTACACATTATAAAACCTTTATAAGATGTAGCAGTGGTAGTTTTGTTACTGATCCTGTCACTGCTGTCAGCTGTTAACCTGAACAGCATTAAGCCTTTTTAATAACATGTTTGTATCTGCACCAGGTCTTTGTGTAATCACTATTAGCAGCCAGTTTACTTGGGCGGATCACATTAAACTCTAAGTGTGTTTGTGGAGGGTGAAGCAGTTGTGTGCTGTGCAATAAAAATAGTAAGCACATTAATTTATTAAAGCACTGTTGCTTTTTTTTTTTTAATCAATCCAACTGCTGATGGAGTAAAAGAAAAAAATAAGACAAAACACACAGGGTATAAAATCGATTATTAGGCTCAGTTTTGCAACAGTTTATTTATCTTAAAAATAATAATGAAAATATATATTTACAAAGAAATGCACAAAAGTTGTTGCTTTGGGAAGCGATACATACACCCACGAAAAAAAAGCTCAACATAAATAAGTTAGTATAATTTTTCAGTGTTTTTCGAAAATAAAAAAAAGGCACACAGGTACACTTCAAAGTTTGACACCAAATAAGGCAGCGTAACTTTGTTTTCTGCCTTCACTAAAATAAATGAGAAAGTAACAATAGTGCAATTACATGTTCCACATGAATTCCACAGCACAAACACAAATCTTTGATTCACATATTTGCATAATAAGTAGCCCAGTGATTTTAACATATTTTATCTATGTTGGCCTGGACTACTGAATTTTTTTATTACAAGGGGGTGGGATACATGGCCTAAAAGCCATTAAAATAATAACTGACCTAATTTAAAAATAATAATAAAAGCTAATTCTTAGGATTATTAGCAAATACTGTTGAAATTTGGTTGGATATTGCTCAGCAGTTTAGCCACCCATGTACAACCCCCCCACCCCCCCCCCCCCCCCCCCCCCCCCCCCAAAAAGGCACAAACTTTGGAAAAACCCCAGAAATTTTTTTTTATGAAATAAAATAATGACATTAAAAAGGGGGAATACAGAAATATTATTTGCATGTAAACTTTATCTATCATGGCTGTTCCCAGTTCGATGGACCCTCGACTTTCAGTGTGGCCTTCAGAAACAAGACAGGCTGTTTAAACACTGGACAAACAAAGCCATAGAAAAAGTGAAGACATTTTTTTTTTTGTTTCCACGTGACCCTGACTTTTGAAATCTGCATTTGTAACTTACATCAATTACCTGAAGAATGATACCACACGACCATTTCAACAAAATAATATTTCTCTGCTGGAAATTGCACTGCAACTTCCCGAGTCAAATTCACACACGTATTCAAATACATTTAACGAAAGAAAAAAAAAAAAGTATAAAAGCATATTATGCTTTCGCTTTTATGTGCTACATCTGAAACATAGGTAGTAGGTACAAAATAAAAAAAAAAGATGAGCAAAAATCCATTTGCACACTGCTACATTGTCTGCTGCTTCTGAGGCAATTTAATTAAAATGAGTGCCAAAACTTGATAGTGTACATATTCAGTGCTTGTGCAGCCTCCCCCTCATCCCCTTCTTTAGGGAAAGGCTGTTTCTTTTCTCTCTCTCTCTCTCTCTCTCTCTCTTTTTCTTTTGTATTGTTCTCCTCCTTCTGTCAGATGATGAGAAACCAGCAACAGGTCTGTGCCACTCTGTGGAACATAAAGAGGAAACGGCTTGTTGAATGGTGCAATTGAAAAAGCAGTTGCTCATACTTGACTTGATATCTCTCTCACACTCTCTCTCTCTCTCACACTCACACACACACACACACACACACACACACACACACACACTTGTGGAGGATTTAAAAATCCTGCAGGTATTAAAGGTTGATGACGTGTAAAGTGCTGCATGCAGGAAATAAATGTTTTCAACTCAAACGTGTTGATGCTGATGATAAACAAGTCAACAAAAGTCTTTTGGCACCCACCTTGAGAGCCGATTATTAGGATTTGAGACAGTGAAGCCCTATGGGTTATTGGCAATTCACTACACTCGACATGAGTGGAATAGCGGGGCAATGATCTCAAACCTACCGCTGTTTTTCACTGGACCTCCGCGCTGCTCTCCGGCCGGTCGGGTCTCCTCTGCTCCGCGCCTTTCACCGCTTGACTCGCGGCACCGTGCGACGGGTCTTCATCATCATCTTCGTCGGTGTGCGACCTTTTACTGTGACACTCGCTGGAGCAGGGACCTGGCGGAGGAGAGGAGGAAAACTGTCAGAGAAAGTTGTGAGGATGTGTGGAGCAGCACGTACACCTGACAGACGAGCTGCTGCCAGACTCCGCAGGAAAAATAGCCAATTTTAGCGAGAATGCCACATCTGCGGGTTACTTTCAAAGAATAAAAGTAATGAGGAGTAGTGTGGAGGAAAAGTGAAGCGCGGCCTCCAATTCGGTGGGGGTTTGAGTTTTCAAAAGTTTCACAAGCGAAGACATTTTAAGTTTTTCTCCTCGCTGTTTTGGTGTTTATGAGCGCGGTGATAACCCGACCGCAGCTCACGGTGGACCCCGGCTGGTGCCTCCGCATTGCGGCACAGCGACAACTCAGATATGGAAGAAAAGTGCGTGACAGCTTCGGTAAGTGAAGGTAAAAAAGAAATCACCTAAATCTCCAGAGCGTCTTTTCCTCGGTCGCTCCGTGGCTGTCTGGTTTTCCGGCCGCGTCTCGCTCCTCTCCTGCCGGAGGTCACCGCCGGGCAGCTCCTCCTCTCGCCGCGGCGGCTGGCTCCCGTGAGGCGGCCGGAGGTAGAACTCCGGCGGGCTGCAGTCCTCCTGCCACTCGTAGTTGCGCGGCTCCAGCGGTCGCTCCTCCACCGGGTCGAAGTTATACCTCTCCCTGAAAGCCTGCACATCTTCCTGCACCGCCACCGCCAAATTCCTCCGTATCTCCTCCCGGTCGGGTCTGCCAAAAAGATTTCTGCGCACCGGGGGTCTCAGGTTGTCCGGCTGCCGCGCATCCACCCTCTCCAATGTCGGGCTCGCATTAGAAAGGCGAACATCTGACATTTTGATGCACATAAGACAAGGAGGGGAGGGGGGAAGAAAACAACAACCAAAAAAAAAATCTTCTCAAACGGATACTTCCAAGTCGTATTCCTGTAAAAATGCAAAGTCACGGGGGATGGTGCATGCGTAATCCGCGCGTCTCATCCAAAATGGAATAAAGCGTCTCCAAAAAGGCGCAGGGAGCGATCGAGAGATCCACTCCTGTCAGGTCCGTAGTAAGAAACTGATGAAAACAACAAGTCAAGTCAAAACAGCCAACATGGCGTTAGAGAGAGCTGTGAGTGAAGAAGAAAGTTGACATCAAGGACTATTTAAACAGAGAGGGCGATTCATTGGTCTGCGCAGCAGGGACCGCCCATAGAACTCTTAAAGTCGAACAGGGGCATCAACATTGAGCTGGATGGGATTAACTCTGTGCGTGAATGTGACTTCATGAAACTGTTTGATTAGTGAAACACAGAGAAGAGAACTAATGTGAGTCCGTTGGAGTCATAAAGGAGAAAGTGATCAGGGTTTAACTTTCCATTAACACCTGGTTCATGAAGCAGGCACCAAGGTCAGACATGAAGCGTAAAGGTCACAGGCTTCCTCTGATCCTCACTGACATGTGCATCACTCACTACGTTTACATGGACGCTGATATTCTGATTTTAGCTAATTACGGTAACATTCTGGGCTGTAAGGGGAAGGTCACACATTCACAAGGGAGAAGCCAAAGTTCACCACAGTTGAATTGCTTCACCAAAGGAAGCACACGTTCAATTCTCCACCTCAGTTGTAAGAATTGCAAGTGGACTGGAGGCACTGATGGATTTGCGTATGTGAGACCGTGCCATAAAACACTGCAATCTAAACAGCATGTTCTGATTAATGAGGTCATTTTCGGAACTGGACTGGCACTCAGAAGAGAGTGCACCTCCGCCAGAGTCCAACAGACCCACATTTGAATCAGCTAGATCTGGATTTTTATTTGGCACCAACTTGCACACACTCATAAATATCAGTCCCCTAAACATGACAGATTTTTTCACCATGAACCATGACTTAATTTTTGAGAAATCTACAAACATATTTTTTTTTCAACTCTTACAATGTTGAAGACACCCTTCCACCAAGTTTCTTGTTAATCTGTCCAGTAGTATTTTTGTAACACTTCAAACAAACACAGATAAAACCATATCAGTGAAGCTTATAATCAATAATTGAATTAAGACGTGGAGTGTTCTGATCTTAGTCACATTATGTAAACACGAATACATCTTAATCACACTATAACATCAAATTGGAGTTTTTGCAGAATTATGTGACATTGTTATCAACTTCTGGTCGTCATAATCAGATTATTCACTCACTGAACACTGGGTCGTTAGAATCATCTGGAATTATAAAGGCCTTTTTAAATCTTGACCTAAAGCAGGTGATGAAGGTCACTTAGGGCTGTGCACATTTATACCAGCAAATAAAAGAGAAAATATGCAATCAAAGCCTTTTTAGAAAAGTACTACTGACGTTAAAACTTTGAAGCTTATGATTAATAATACAAAGGCTGCTGAACTTTTTTACACATGGCGACAAAACGAGGCCCAAAGCCGAGCTTGTCATCAAATATTCATACTGCTGCACCAGCTCAACAGCCTTGACATCAATCAGCTCAGGAGAGATGACGATAAGTTTCTTCCTAGAATCTAATCTCATCTCTTTAGTCTTGGACACATTGACACCCAAGAACTTGCACCAGTCGGAACTCTGCCACAACTCACATAAACATCAAAATCCAAATAACCTTATTCAGAATAAGTTCAATAGTCTCTGTGTTCCTCAGCTGTGAGATGCAGTGGATTTTGAAAACAGTCAGCTAATTGTCTGCAGAGTAAGACCTGAACAACACTGGTAAAAAGATTTATCTCACATTGCAGGAGCGCTGGGCCGAGGTCTCGCTCGGGGGCTGGTAACACTATCACATGAATCAATCATCAAGTGATTGTGTGAGCGCTGACGGATTTCACTACTTCATCTGATTCAGTGTCACATACACAGCTTAGGCTCACCACTTGATTCAATCACTGTAAATGTATTCAGTTACCGCTGCTAGATAATTGAAGGACAATGACACCGCTGTTGTGCTGCAATAAGCACCCGTGATGTGAAAAGCACCCCAGTGTACGATCAAAATGATTTCAACTTCTGACCAATCCTCACTCGTCATGACTAAACCTCACCTCAAGGGGGTGCTTCTTCACAGCGGTGGCGGTGTTTGTTTGCACAACAGCACCTTTTCTACCAACATGGGGCAAGTTCTGTTTCAGTTCATGCATTAAAGAGTCTGTTCAACCAAAGATTCAATGGTTCAGAACCAAAAAAATTTAGTTTTTCGAAAACGTGACGACGTCAGTGGTGTGTTGCACTGTACATTTTGAAGAGAAGATGGAAAGTGTCATATTCACAGACATCTTCACTTCATAATTTCTTGGTCTATAATTGTTTTTTAAGGATAAAAACATCTGTAATAAAAATAGACTGTTTATAAAGATGGACGTCGCATCTCCACTTCCTCCTACTATTCAGAAATGAAGCCAAAGTATCCCAGATATGAACGCTGCCATCTTGTTGCCATGACGTCTATTGGAGTCTGACCAGTAGCGGACCAATCACGAGTTAGTATCTACTGTGAATCATGACCTTTCACCCCATTTTTACATCACAAAAAAAACAAATTAAACCCAACTTGAAGGGAAACAAACACTTGAACATCAGTGTGATAAGAACTATATGATGCAAACGTTGTACTTTTATTTTGGTCCATGTGCCATCCACTAACAAGGAGGCAGGGTTTATGACCTATACTACAGGCAGCCACCAGGTGGTGATAGAGGCAGTTTGACTTTACTTTTGGAGAGCTGTCACGTAGTCCATGACAACAGATCAAAACAATGTTATCCAACATCTTGCTATGTCCCTTGTGCGCCGCCCTCCACTGATGACACATCCTTGATCACCTTTAAACAGGTGGAAAAACAGGCTGGTTGACTGGACAGCACCAAGAGAATCCCGAATGACACCAAAGCAAAAGTGGAAAAGTGGGGGATGAGACGTGACTGTGAGGTCTAATGCAGGAAAACAACAACAACAAAAAAGACATTAATCTGCCTCCTGGCATCAGATGACGTCAGCTCTCAAGTAGAAATCCTTCCGTCATCGTTGGCTTGGTGCCTATCGCTTTTAGACTTGGCCACTGGTGCCACAGCAGTGGTTTGTGTGCTACACTGGTTGCAGTTGCTTGTGTGTACACTTGGAATTTACATAATGAGGAAACAGAAAGTGGTGCAGCTTTAAAAAAAAAAAAGGAAAAAGAAAAACTTTGAGACTCACAGCCATTTCCCTTTGAGGGTTTCCTGTTTGCATCATATAAAAAAAGTCTCACCCAAGAGTCTAATTTGGGTTCATGTCAAGATTGAACAGCTTTCACATTTGTTTTCCATACGTTCAGGAGCGGAGGAGGAATCCTGAAGTGAGCGAGTGAAAAGAATCGACTTCTATAACAGTTGAAGTCCTAAAACTATACAGTGTGTGTCACTGTGCATTCCTGCGCAGCATTAAAACTCACTGCGCCTGCCTTTAAGGCCATGCTGTTTCAGTTAACCCCCGAGAAGACCCAAACATCTCGTGACAAATACAGTGAGGACATCTGTTATATCGATGTTATCACCGGGAATCACACTTAATCCATAATGTGTTTACGCTGCTGCAAAGTGGGCACAGCGTTGTGTGCGCAGAGTGACCCATGAGCTAAAAACAGATTTTGATCAAACTGATTAGGCGGGTAAGAGGAGAAATAAAGCAAGAGAACATTTTGTTAAGGTCACACATGCAGAACCGAATGCTTTAAGGCGAATGCTTAGGATTTTTTCTCCTGCACAGTTTGACATACTAAAGCTCAGCTGTGGGGGGGGAGGGTAAAACTCAACTGAATTTCAGGACCCACAAAAGAACACACTCAAGATTGACAGATATACATGTCTAAATAATGCGACTAAGATCGGAGTACTCCACATTTATTAATTTTATTGTTGCTTAGACGTTTTCATCTGTGTTTGTTTGTGTGATAATGCATTATGGGTCAGGGAAGAACCCAGTGAATTTTGGTGTGGATCCAGATCAGGGAGCAGATCAATATAAATTTTCCACTTTCTTTAACATTGTAAGATAGATAATAGAGAACAATTCATGGATCTTGATGGGACTGATAGTTTGTTCACAATTTGGTGCAAATCTAAATAAAAATCTGGACCTGGTGGATTTAAATGTGGTTTCATAAGGGGACTGGTGGGCCTAGGCAGGGGTATGATCTCTACTGAGTTCCATTGGAGTTTTACCAGAGACAGCTAAATAACAAGAAAAGTTTATGTTTGTCAGTGTTATTTGGATTATTATTAGTTGGGAAGCTACATTTGACACTGGGTGTATTTTAAAATGACAAAGGGGAGTAACAGTTTCACACCACTGTTGGATGATGCAACGGCAGTGAAATGACTGTTAGTTAAACATTAATAATGATCAACAAAAAAAAAAAAGTCATGAAAATACCAAAAGAAAACTTTTTTTTCTTTTTTTATGATTTCAGAACAAAGGGAAAATATTTTTGACACGACAGAAGTCAACACTTCAAGCTTTGACCATGAACAAAAAAGAATCAAGGTTCAAGCTGTGATGCTCTTTTACAAAAGATGTGTCACTGTCAACATGTACATGTGTGTAATATTAAGGAATGTACCATTAATGTAACTGTTACCATATGTTGATGAAAAGCAGTAAAAATATGTTCTCTTGTAAAAAAACAAAAAAAAAAACAGGCTCATTAAAAAATTGAATAACATTTATTATTTTTTTCCACTTTGACGGCAGTGGAAACATAAATCTAGTCCTGAGTGTGACTTGCAACTGAACTATTGCTTCCACATTGCTCTTTTCACTCATTCGCTCATGGCTGTAATATTGTCGAAACTATTTACAGAGAGACTAGAATAGCTGCTGTGGGTTGAGCTGACCATTATGGATATGAAATTTGGGGAAAGTTCAGATTTTAAACTGGCAGCCATTTTTAATTGGGAGGTTTGATTGTGAGCCTGCAAACACAATCCAACAGAGGTCTGGCAGCTCTCCTCACACCTGCAGTTTACTTCTATAAAACTCTGCAATAAACAAATAAAACCTGGCTGACTATAATGCAGCAGGTTAACATCCTGGCCACAAGGATAGATTTGTACTTTTTTCTGATGGAAGTGTGTTTCCAATCAGTGATCAAAACCGAGAGCGAGGTGGATTCAGAACAGGATGTTTTGTTGTACAGCTTTGTGTATTTATAGTTTCACCCAGTGTGGCTTTAATCAAAACGTGCTTATTAAAAACACTTCATGACAAAAGCTATTAGTCCGAGACACCTGAGCAAATTACGGACATCTCGCCCGACTTCATGACACGGCAGCCTTGGAGCTCTGCTTCTTCTTGGCCAGCTCGGACTGGATCTGATGAGGGAACTGGTCCAGGTGTTTGTTCACACACTGCATGCAGAACCTCTTGGTGTAGAAGAGACTGCAGTCCTGTCAAAGAGGAGAGAGCAAAGTGCAGCATCAGTGCCCCAGTTAGACACGAGCGCCAGATACAACAAGTCACATTTAATTTCTTACGATGTATCCGTCAGGGCGGAGGAATCAATAACATGGTGTGTACAGTTTGTACTGGTTTTCAACTGTGACCAACAAGGTCAAGTCAGGTCAAGCAGGAAACTACTAATTAACTTCATGCTCAATATATATAAGCTGGTGTTAATGTTATGTTATTATATTCAACAACAATGATGAAACACTTTCTACAGCGGCTTTCAAAACCCAAGTTACAAAATACTACACAAAATAAAGTGCAAAGCTAAGAAGTCACAGAAAAGTCAGATCATACTCAGCAATTTTATAAAAAAAACAAATAAAAGAACAACACTGAAACAAATTAAAACTGAACAGAACTATATAAAAAAAATAACACACTTAAAATGCTAGCCTTTCTAAAGTGAGGCTGTGACACACACACACACACACACACACTGTCTTAACACAGACACACAGACTGTCTTAACTTTTGTCCCTGAAGGATCATACCAGCGCACCCACGTATCAACCATGTGTTTAAATGAAATGTACGATCACATGTGAAGTCTGTGGCAGAAACTAAAACTTTAGGACTGAATCTTACCGACCCAGCACAGACACAGAGGCTGCACAGGCTGCAGGTGGAGCCCAGGACCAGGAACTTCTCCCTGTCCGGGCT